CAGTTTGGGAAATTTTTGAATGACGAATTTGGCCTTTGAGGATGAAAGGATGATTATAGGTGAAATTGTTTTATCTGGAGGAAGATTCGAACCCGGGTGCTTGCCCGTATTGGATCACAATAGAGGCGCAGCTTTTACTACTTCCGTTTTCTAGCCATTTGAGAAAAATATATATTAAAAAAAAACAATAATTTTAATTTTTAAAATTTATTTCAGAACATTTATTAAATTATTAATAAATAAATTAAGTTAAAAATTAGTTTAATTAGTAATTGGTAATGCATAAAAAAGTAAATTATGTTTCATACTCTAAAATTCATTGTATTACAATACATATTTTTTAATTTTTTTCAAAGATATTTTATATAACCGTATATATTATTTATCATTTACTCAATTAAATTTTTTATCTATTTATTTATTTAATAACGTAATAACTCTTTATATGATATTATATGTACTAAATACTTAAAGATTACTTAATAATGTTTAATTTATTAATATTTAGAAATAATTATCTGAAAATAATTACCACAAAAAAAAATCTGGAACGTCTCGAAAAGGATATGAATATTTCGTTAAAGAATAAAAATAAAATAAAAAACGTGGGTAAATACGAAGCTGCCACGTAGAATTAAAATCCACAACGTGTTGACTTCTCAAGACAAACACCGTTTTCTTTTCTTTTTTGTCCCCAAAATCGACACACACTTTTGCACGTCTTTCTCTCACATCGACAGCGAACATGGAAGAGATAAGGCCTTCACCATCACCGCCAACAGCGACGTCCGCCTCCGGCGCCTCCACTGACCCAAAAACAGAGAACGAAACGACGTCTTCAGTGATGTCTAGAGTGAAGAAAGGTTGCTTATCCTTGTCAGTTTCGTTGCAGGAAGGGTTTCGCGATTTCAAAGCCTTCTTCATCGGCCAGGTAATAGATATTAAACGGCGCCGTTTTTTGCGGCTAAGCTAGTGAAGAAATAATATTTTCTTTGTGGGGGCAGGCAAAGAAGCTGACGGCAAGGAACGAGAAGGAAGCGACAGAGGCTGATCTAGCGACGGCGAAGATGGAGGTGGAAGCCGCTGATGATGCTGAAAATATGAAGAAGAGAATAGAGGACAGGTCTGGTTGATTGAAGCTTTCTTGTTGATGTACTTCGCAAGTATACTCTACATAATAATATGTTTTTTTTTTTATATATTAAAAAACAAAAAAAGGTGATGATAAACGTCGTCGTAAATGGAAGAAAGAACCAGAGAGAAGAACTTGACTAATTCGATGCCGTTTTCTTCTTCCTAATTCGAGTTTGGAAAGAAACACTATACAAGACGGGTTCAAATTCATAATTAATCTATTTGTGTTATAATAAATATTCTAAATGTAATTGAAAATATATAATAATATTTTTTATTTTATTTATTATGTATATCACTTTATAGTTAATTTGTTTTGTGTTAATTGGAGAAAAAGATTTATTGAAAATATGTTATAGAATTGTTATGAATTTCTTTTTAACCAAAATTATTATTAGAGCCATGCAACACTTGTACGTCGGTGTATTAAAAAATAATTTTGTTCTTGGTCTTTATAAAAAAAATATTAAGTAACGTGTTAATCCAAATTTATTTAAATTTTTAAATAAAAAAAAATTAGTTTTTATAATTTTTTTATCAGAATTTTAATAATTTGCTGAGATTTTATTTTATTTAATTATTATAATTTTATCAATAGATTTATTTAATAATTATTATATAATTTTTTAAAATAATAATTTACCGAAATGATATATAATTTATTTTATATACACTTAAACAGCGATGATCATTCTATGTTTTTAATGATATTTGAAATTATAATTTTTAAATAAAATATTAATATTTTATTATAAAAGTATTATATCAGTGGTTATATTTTATATTTTATTATAGAATTTAAAATAATCAATTGCTATCGTAATACAAAATAAGGCATGGATGAATTGAGGGAAGAACATAACCTTTTTTTTTAAAAAAAAAAATAAATAAATAAAACTAAATATATAATTTAAAATAATATTAACTAATCAATCAAGAGGATGAAATGGGAGGCCCTTCCAAGCGAATGTAGTCATACATGACCCCTTGAAAAAGATCAGAACACATAGTTTGGGTCAAGAAGATTGTGTTATCACCTTCAATAAACATTTCACATGGAATATCAACATTGTAAAGCCTGTATAATCCATGAATTCCATGTCTTGCAATCGTGTTATCGTGTCCGACTATATCGGTAGAAAATAGAGGAGGATTTGAATTTTTATCGCGGACTCTCACCTATTGTGAAAATTACCCAGAAGAGAAAAGTTAAATTAATCAAGTATTATTACCATATGTAGGTATGAGGTCAAACGTGAATAATAAATTTTCTATTAAGAAATGTACATCTATTAAGTGTAATTAAATAGAAATATTTTATATGTTTAAGGATTAGGATTTATGGAAGAAGGTACCTCCAAATTTGCATTATTTGCAGTGGCTAATGCCAATCGCAATTTATAAACTCCAGTTTGCTCCGCACTGTTAAGTTTAAACTTGATTTGCCACGTAGTTGCTTCATTTTCTCCACCATCTTTTTTTCTGTAAAATGCAGGTTGTTCTTATGGTGAGATAGATAGTTGATAAATTATTAAATTAACTTTTGATATTTTTTGAAAAAAATATTGACTAATCAATTAAATTAATAACTTAATAAAAATAATTTGTTATTAGTTCTTAATACATTGGAATATAATCTAATAATTTAAGTTTGTTTATTAAAAAATTGAAGAAAATTAAATTGTAATAATCGAGAAACTGAGTAACTAATGATTCGACCGAACCTTGGAAGGTGGGCAAAGAACCAGTCTTTTGTGTAATCGCCATCGCCAATGGTGTAAACTAAATCTTCATTTGGATATAATTCGGTATATCTCTCCCAGAGTCCGTACTGTCTAAATCTAAACTCATACAAGATTTAAAGACAAATCTATAATCACTTGAAGATTTTCATAATTTAAGAGAGAGTAAAAAAACAGAGATGAAGTTAAATACTTGTCTGGGTGGTTGATGTAAAGTTTATTAATAAACATGGGATTAGGATCAGGAACGTAAAACTCAGCAGCAGAACGATCAGGAATTCCAATTTCCCACAGTGTTGGTCCGTCTCTCGGAGGATAGTATACAAGATTACCCAGATCAGTATCACAACCTGTTTTTACACAGTTCTATAAATATATATATATATATATATATATGAAGACATATATATATACAAACACACAGGGCCATAAACAAATTTGAAGAGCACAAAAATATAAGTTTTAAATATTACCTGATGTTATTGTAATAAGGGTTTCGTATTTATAGTCTCCGATAAAACCAGAGACCCAAGCATAGAGATTATAATCGCCAGGACGAACGTCATTGATCATGAAATAACCACCCGAGTCTACACTCGTCCAGAATTGATACCCCTGATTGTATGTTCGTCAAAAATTTGTGTGTGTTAATTACATATTATAATTTAATATTTAAAAATTTAAATAGATATATACTCAAAATTATATTTGTATTTAAATAGTCAAAAAATTTTATTTTATTTTTTTACTAAATTTTAATAAATAGTATTACTAAATTTTTATCATATTAATTTTAATTTTTATATTTTAAAATATAATAATACCTTACTCTCTGTCTGCCAAGATCCAACATCTCCTGGAGGAGCCAAGCCCACAAAAGCACCATCTGATGTTATATATTCATCGCTTATATACCTTATACGCAAGTGCCATCAACAAAATTTTTTATAAAAAAAGTAAAAAAAATATCATAAAATTATTTGTAAATAACATATTATAAATTAATTTTTTTAATATACAAAGAAATTAACAAGAAATACAAACCTATCAAATACATATAATCTACCAGTGACGTTGCCACGTTGATCCGACGATAAAAAATCTTCAGATACTGGAAAATCGTACGGCCACATTTGAGCTTCGACGGATGCCTAAAATTTAATTATATTTATTTACATGTTATTTAATAAGAAATGTATTTATAAATAAAAATAGTGTATATTTTTTTTAATCTATACCTGTTGTTTGGCATCTTCCCATAGTGAAAGGGGATCATAACTGTTATCCAGCAAAGAATTGAGATAAATGAAAACTGGGCCAAAAACTTTCTTCCATGCCTCTCCAGCTTTAAATTTCAGAACCATGTCTTCTCCCGCATAATGTGCGCTGAGAAACATCTGAAGTGTACTGTTTTTTCAATTTAATTAAATATATATATTTTTTTATGTATTACATTAATTAATTGACATGTATAAGGCAGTCATAATATAATTTCTTAATAAAAAATACATGTAAATCCTGTAATTTAACTTGAATTCGTAACTTACGGCAAGAGTAATGGGGCCAACATGAGAAGTAAGATTTTGTTTAAGCAGTCCTCCCGATCGAAACTCATTGCTAGGAGTGATTTGCCAGAACCCAGTAATTGGCTTCTTGAAGCAAATCCATCCATGCACCTTGAGATCTTTGTTCTCACACGAGTATTGATACTTATCATCCACCTGAATTATTGCTCCAGTAATTATAATACGGGCGATAATTACATTATATTATATTACATTATATTGTTAAGTACCACCTCTCCTTGGAACTCTGGTTCAACAGGATGAACAAGTAAGACAGCTTCCGGATAAGCTAAAGGTCTACCTCTTCCTGGCAAACGATCTTCCGGTAATGGCATGTGTCTTTGTCTATTATCTGCCATCACCATATACTGGAATCTGCTTTCACGTAAATGAAGAAGGTGATTAACGAATGATTAGTATTTTAATTTTTTTTTTATTTTATTTTATGGAAATGTATGTTCACGAATTGTGAAGGTAGTTTGAAAGAAAGTAATTTTTAATTAAATTACTTGTTTTTTCTAAGCTTGAATACAATCCGAGTTTGTGGTAGGTTGAAAGCAGGCCAATCCTTCAAGTGCTCGTAGATGGCATAGGAATAAAACCCAGAGCAGTCTCGAAGCATTATAAACCTAAAAAATAAAAATTATATTGATATTTTTTTTAATTTAATTAAATAATACACACACACACACACACATATGTTATAATATTAAAACAATATATATATATATATATATATATGAACTCCAACCTATAATGTCTTGATTGATCGATCAGTCAGTCATTCATGCTTACCGCTTGTCGATGTTGAGGGGTGCAAGTTGGCCATTGTCAACGGAAGGATCCCATGTTCGAGAGAATGAGATTTCTACTTGTCCTTCGCTCTCCATTATTACTTTGAAACTTGTCCCTCTGATCCTGTAATAGAACAATTCTCATTATTATATACACACGCATTATGCCGATATATATATATATATATATATATATATATGTGTCATATATCATACACATATGATATTCCCGTCGTTCCAGTTGCTCCTTCCTGGCTCCAAACAAGATCCCAATACCTACATTTTAATTGTATTGTCACCAAAATTAAATATTAATTAAAGGGTCATCAAAAATAAATTTTTATTTTCTAATTTAAGTTGGTATATTATATGCCAGAAAGTATTAAAAACATAATATGTTAATTTATAAAATATATTACCCTCTATTATCTTCTTCATTACGAACTTCAAGCAAATTATCCATGCCATTATACTCTATGCCAGTAACAATGCCATCCGGTTTCGATATTGTCACTTGAAGTATTCCGTTGTCCATCACCACCTATTCGTACAAAAACCTTATTTAAAGCAACACATAAGATAATTAATTTATATTTATTTATTGAGTTTAACAGTTAATTTTTTTAATTAAATATTATAATTTTTTTTTTAATTAAATTTTCGTTAGCATAAAAACTTTCAAGAAATGAAAAAAAAAAACAATATATATTATGAAAATAATAAATTTACATAACGATCTTGAATACGCAGTTGGACTCCGCGAGCAGACATGGGTGACGACCGAAGGCAGCTCTCTCTCTCTGTTTCGTTTCTTCTGCAAGAATTATAAATTTTGGAGCAGTTAGTGGAGGGTTTAAATAATAAAAAAAAAGGGCGTGTTTGGCTGTAATGTTTTCTTGAACTGGGGAGCAAGTTATTTCAGCTCTCTTGATCTTGCAGATACGACGTCGCACCGTCTCTTGTGAATTCTTTACTCAGTCGCTACCACCATTAATGTCAAATGAATATTTAATATTCTCAGCCACCAAACTCTTGGGTTATTAGATAAATGAGTTTTAAATTATTATTCGTCTAAAAATTTGCTTTTAAATTTAAAATGATTGAAAAAGTATTTTGTATAGAGAAATTATTAACCAGCTTTTAGGAAAAAAAAAAAAGGAAAAGAAAGATGTGAATTTTAATGGGGATGCTGGGTTTTGAGGTACTCGTACATTTAGGAACCAATATGATCTTTGTTAAATTTTTTTTTTTTACTGATTTGATTTTTGAATCAAAATTCTTATACTTTATTAAATAGGTAATACATATATGATACAGTCTCGATACATAAAAATTATAAATCAAGACTTTGAATGTAAAATTTCACATAAAAAGAGAAAAAAATATCCATAATTAAGTTAATGAAAGGTAAATAATTTTTAAAGTTATGAAAAATAAAGTAATTCATTTGATATATATAATCTATGAGACCGAGAAAAAAGATCTAAATTTAGAGAAAGAGAGGAGATGAGAGAGAGATGATTTTTTTTTTTTTACTTTTAGATTAATCAGATCTAGTTTTTTTTAACACGTTTTAACATATGAGAGTAAATTATTCGATAAAATCTATGAAAGCGAGTTAAAAGATTTTTATATATAGAAAAAAAGAGATGATTATTTTTTTTACTCGTTGTAGTGATGTAAGTTAAAATTTTTTTAACAATCATAAGATATTTTTATCATAATTTATGAGAATGAGATAAATTATTGATTTTGTTAAATTAAGTGTTATGAGTGGGTTATTGTCAATTTATAATATATTTATAAAATAATAAAATTTTGTATTATTAATAAAAATTAGTTACGTAATTTTTAAATAAAATACAATAATTTTATTTAATAAATGATAAAAAAGAAATAAATTTGGAAGAGACTGGAGGAAATACAATATATATATATATAAAATAATGTTCTCAATCAACCACCAAACACATTGGTCTCTAATATTTTATTTTTAAGGCACACGTAATCGTCTACGTCACCGAGTCAAAACCAGTGCGCAGAGCAAATCTCGGAGTCCAATTTCGCAGTGGCACCGATAAACGTCATCAAGCAATAATCACTATGTGCTTGCTAGGATTCTTCTTGTTAGTCTGCTCTCTGGTTTATGTTTTGGACTGTTACCTCGCCTCTGCCTTATAAATCAGCAAGATCTTCATTTGCATTCTTCACATCTGATTCACATTGCTTTATTCTCCCTGCAAAAGATTGAATCCGCAGCTTCTGTAAAGGCAAGTTTTGATGGAGACCAAATCTGCACAAACCGGGAACACAATCCCTCTGCTCACTTCCTACAAGTTTGGAAAATTCGATCTTTCTCATAGGTGAGTTGAGCTGTTAAAAAATCTCCATTTCTTATTGTTTCTGGTTCTGTATGGAAACTGGGGGAGCACTTCTTAACTCTACTACTTAATTAACTGACTAAATTTGTTAGCACTCATCTTCTAAATTTTGCTGATTTTTTTTTTTTTTTTTTCCAGTTTTAACATCAGAATGAATGCTTGAAACTTTAAATATAACAGTGTCTATCTTTAACTGCCTAAACTGTCTTAGGACTACTGATTATCAGTTTTAATATCAGAATAAATGGTTGTGGGGTCTGAGTTGAAAATGTGAATTGGGTAGACTGTTCTTAGCATTTCTACTTAATTTATCTGACTAATTTGGTTAGTTGCTTTAGTCTGGTATGATTGAACAACTGGCTTAGTCTCCAGTTTTTTGTTGTACTACACTCAGATAATTTAAGGCTTGATCTTTTAACGTTCGTCTTCTCCTCTTTAGAGTTGTTTTGGCACCGTTAACCAGGCAAAGATCTTACAACAATGTTCCTCAGCCTCATGCCATCCTGTACTACTCTCAACGAACCACTCGAGGAGCTCTTCTCATAACTGAAGCCACTGGGGTTTCTGACACCGCTCAAGGGTAATTTCAACTATAAACTTTGGTAATTCCAACGATAAACTATCAGACTGTCAAGTTGGTCTCTAACAAGAAAGGTGAACTTGATTGAATACGTTTGCTGCCTTGAGAAATTGACGCAATCTTGGGTTTCTTCAATATGTGCAGGTATCCACTGACGCCTGGTATATGGACAAAAGAGCAAGTGGAAGCCTGGAAACCTATTGTTGATGCTGTTCATGCAAAGGGTGGGATCTTCTTTTGTCAACTTTGGCATGTTGGGAGGGTTTCAAATTCAGGTTTGCTCGAGTTAAGCCTTGTTTAATTGGTCTTCTGCTTTTCTTAGTATTGAAGGGACTACATGTATCTGATTATGTCTGAATTTTAAGATTGTTTTCATTTTGATCATTCTAAGTTGTATCTTTTCCTTGCAGGTTTTCAGCCAAATGGGCAGGCACCAATCTCCTGTACCGACAAGCCATTGACCCCTCAAATTCTAGCTGATGGCGATGTTGTAGAATTCACACCTCCAAGGAGGCTAAGGACAGATGAAATCCCCCAAATAGTTGATCACTTCAGAATTGCCGCAAGAAATGCTATGGAAGCTGGTAATTTTCTTTGCACTCTTAAAACTGAACATTCTGAGAAATTTTAATTCATTGAAAAGTGTTATCCCTCAAACTGAAATACAGTAAATGATCTAATATAACTGTTCAAATGAATAGGATTTGACGGAGTTGAGATCCATGGAGCTCATGGCTACTTAATCGACCAGTTTATGAAAGATCAAGTGAATGATAGAACAGATCAATATGGTGGATCTCTAGAGAATCGATGCAGATTTGCTCTAGAAGTTGTTGAGGCTGTTGTTAACGAGATTGGAGCAGACAGGGTAGGAATTAGGCTATCACCTTATGCAGACTATATGGAGTCAGGAGACTCCAACCCAAAAGAATTAGGCCTCTACATGGCCGAGTCCTTGAATAGATATGGGATTCTTTACTGCCATATGATTGAGCCTAGAATGAAAAAACAGCTAGAAAAATTTGAATGCCACGACAGTCTTCTGCCAATGAGAAAGGCTTTCAAAAGTACTTTCATTGCAGCTGGGGGTTTTGACGGGGACGACGGAAACAAAGTTGTAGCTGAGGACCGGGCGGACCTTGTTGCCTTCGGGCGATTTTTCTTGGCCAATCCAGATCTGCCGAAGAGATTTGAGCTTAATGCTCCTCTAAATAAGTACAACAGGCGCACATTCTACATACCCGATCCTGTAGTTGGTTACACTGATTACCCATTTCTTGAGACAGAGAATTAGATACTGTTTTAATAGAACAATTGATAAATCCCTGAAAATAGAATAATACCGAGGGGAAAGAAAAATAATATGAGAGTTTTCTGCTGTGAGAGTGTTCAATTTTCCAGCAACTTTCCATTAGTTTGATATATCTATACACACACACACACACACACAAGATAAGACTTAAGTTATCAACTAATCCTACTAACTCTAATTCAGAACATGATTGAATAAGAAAAGTAAGGTACTTAATACAAATCATGAAGTTCTATTCCTACTTCGCAGTTTATTAATTAAAACTGTAAATACCAAAAATAAAAAATAATAAAAAGAAAGAACAGTAAATATATGACTGAAATGACAAAAGAGTTACCTCCTTGTTATATGGAAAACTCAAACTTTAACCTTCCTTGAGTTTTTCATTGAACAAAACCAAGTTTAGCTTTTAAATCTTTAAATTTGTATTTAGGCAGAGTTTTAGTCATTATATCGGTAACTTAATCATTTGAATTGCAGTACACCAAATAAACTTCATAAAAAAAAATAATATTTTGCTTTAATATGTTTTGTCTTTCATACTGAACCAAGTTATTG